ATATTGAATAGAGCAGCAGTAATCATGGGGTGCCAATATCTCTATGGTAGGGTACAGGACCTCTGGGTATATTCCCAGTAAAATAGCTGAGTCCTCTGGTATTTCTAATGTTTTGAGAGACTTCCACAAGCTCTAAATAATGACTGTATTAATTTTCACACTCACCAGTAGAGAATATGTGTTCTTCTTTGTCCACATCCTCTGCCACATTTGTTGTCAGTTATTTTGATTATAGCCAATCTACCTGGGGTGAGCTAGTATCTCACAGTAGATTTAATTTGCATTTCCCTGATGACTAGGGATCACTTTTTTGTCCTGAGTTGTATCAGTTATTTTTTCTGAACACAAAAGCTGTACCGTAAAGATGACTTTTAAATATGTTTTTTTTTCTGTTCCTTGGGTTGTCATTTCAGTTTGTAGTTTTAATTCATAAACTTACTGTCTTAGGGTTACTATTACTATGATGAAACACCATGATCAAAAGGGGTTTGAGGAAGGAAAGGTTTTCTTTAGCTTACACATCCATATCACTGTTCATCATTGAAGGAAGTCAGGACAGGAACTCAAACAGGGCAGGAACCTGGAGGCAGGAGCTGGTGCACAGGCCCTGGAGGATTGCTACTTACTGGCTTGCTGCTCATGGCTTACTCAGGGTGCTTTCCTGTAGAACCCAGGACCACCAGCCCAGGAATGGCCCCACCCATAATGGGCTGGGCCCTCCTCCATCAAATACTAATTAAGTAAATGTTCTTCAAGCTTGCCTACAGCCTGACCTTTTTTATTGTTTTATTGAATATTTTCATTTATTTTACATACCAACCTGCTGTGGATATCACTCTATATAAATAAAACACTGATGGCCAGTGACCAGGCAGGAAGTATAGGCGGGACAAAGAGAGAGGAGAATTGGGGAAACAGGAAGAAGGAGGAGACACTACAGCCACGGCCAGGACAAGCAGCATGTGAAGACGCCGGTAAGCCACCAGCCACGTGACAAGGTATAGATTTATAAAAATGGGTTAATTTAAGATGAAAGAACAGTTAGCAAGAAGCCTGCCATGGCCATACAGCTTATAAGTGATATAAGCGTCTGAGTGATTATTTTATAAGTGGATTGTGGGACTACGGGGCTTGGGGAATCTGGAGAGAAGCCCTCCAGCAACACCAACCACAGTTTCCCTTCCCTCCTCTCTTCCTGTTCCTGTTCCTTCTCTCCACCTCCCATCAACCCTCCCCCCATCTACTCCTCCTCTGTTTAGTAATGGTCAGCCTCCCATGGGAGTCAACAAAGCATGGCATATCAAGTTGAGGCAAGACTAATCTCCCACTTCATCAAGGCTGGGCAAGGCATGCTAGCATGGGGAATAGGTTCCAAAGAGCCAGCTGAAGCACCAGGAACACCTGATCCCACTGCTAGGGACCCCACAAACAGACAGAGCTACACAACTGTCATCCACATGCAAGGGTCCTAAGTTGGTTCCATGCAGGCTCCTTAGCTGTTGGTCCAGAGTCTGTGAGCTCCCACTAGCTTGGTTCAGTTGTCTCTGTGGGTTTCTCCATCATGATCTTGCCCTCCCTTGCTTATACAATCCCTCCTCCATCTCTTTACCTGGACACCTGGAGTTTGGCCTAGCACTTGACTGTGGCTCTCTGCATCGGCTTCCCTCACTTAATAGATGAAGGCTCTCTGTTGACAACTAGGGTAGTCCCCAATCTGATTACAGAAGGCCAGTTCAGGCACCCTCTCCACCATTGCTATCTGTCTTAGCTGAGGTCTTCCTTTTGGGTTCCTTGGAGTTTCCGTGGCACCAGTTTTCTCCCTAACCTCAAAATGGCCTGCTTTATCAAGATACCTCTTTCATTGACCGCTCCCCTCCATCCCATCCCAACTCAACCAACCTGATCACTCATGTTCCCATTCCCCCATTCCACTTCCACACCAATTCCTGTTCAGGGAGAGTTTCCTGTTGCTGAGCCTCCGTACTTCTGTGTCCTTTGATGCCCCAACTAGAAGCCCTGTGTCCCCTCTCAGGCTCTTGTCCTCCCTAGGAGACCCAGCCTTCTCTGTGCTTCCTTCTTCCCACCACTCGCAGGAAATGCTCCCCTCTCCTGTGAGTAGGAGCCCCTGCCAAGGGACCACCAAAGGACACACCTGTCCACGATGGGGTTGTAAGGAACTGCAATTCTCTCTGTCTATGGAGAAGAGTGTCAACTCCAGCATGGCTCCCATGTCCTGCTGCTCTTGTGTCAGCTTTGTTGTCCTTCCTTGAAGCTGAGCTTCCTGGCAGGAGGCAGCACCTCCCAGGGTCACTTCAGCTGAGGCCAAGGTCTGTGTCCCTCACCCTGCCCCACCTCTTCCCGCTCAACGTGGGCCTTCCACTCCTCTCCCCCCTTCTCTCTTTATGGTCCAGTCCTCTAGAACATTCTTTGGGTAGAAAGGCTAATCAGGAACCCTTGGCCTGAAAGAACAAAGGTCACCCAAGGACTGACCTCTGCCATGTCTTTCCCCATCCCTGTCAGCACCAGAGGGAGACCCTGTGCTTCCTAAACCCAATGGTGGATTTCCTCTTGTGACACAGAAACACACTGAGCCCATCTGCCCTTTGTTCTCACTGCTCTGGGAAGGTGGGATTTACTCCCAGCAGGAAGGTGACAGAGATGGCTGTGAGGGCTGGAAAGGAACCAACTGAATGATGACAGGGAAGGGGATGGAACCACTGTCACTGGTGTCACCAATCAAGTGTCTGATCCAGGAATTAGAAGTTTCATGTCCTGGGTGTGCAGGAAGGACTGACCTGTGTGTCCTAAAGAGAGGATGTTGTCTTCATCATCCTATGAATAGCCTCAGGGAGACTCGCTAACATCCTGTGTGGGTTGAGCTGTGGCTGTGATCTGCCCATGTCCTCTTGACCTTTCTGGGATGTCATCTATCTAGGTAACTCCCCTGTGACCACCCTGTCTTTCCCTCTGAGTGACACCAGGAGGGAAGGGACTGTCAGGAGGTAAAGTAGCATCCTCAGAGACATGGAAAGAAGATGGAATGTTAGTAGGCTTGTGGGAGGAACCTCTAGGTGTTTGGACTGGTTGGAATCAGGTGTCTCAGTTAGCTTTCTATTGCTATGACCATGGCAAAAGTAACTTGGGGAGGAGAGGGTTTCTTTTGTCCTATGGTATACAGTCCTATGATGGGAAGTCATAGAAGGAACTGAAACAGAGGCCATGGAGGACTGAGACCACCATCTCAGGGGTGGCATTCCTCACAGTGGGCTGGGCCCTTCCACATCTATTATTAATTAAGAAAATGTTCCACAGACTTAACTACAGGCTGTGGGGGTCTCTGCAAACACCATAGCCCACAGAGTAATAAACAATGTGAGGCAAGAAGGAAATCTTGTTCAACAGGACTCAGGAGCCTGTGTTGGTTCAGACTTCAGGATTCTGGCCCCTGGCAGATTATTTGAGACTGTTTAAATACAGTACAATCTGGAAAAAAGTTTCCTGGTGTATCATAATTTCATATGCACAAGGAGACATAATTACATCGAAACTCTTTTCAAAGCACATGTCACTTCTTCCATGAAATTGGGCTCTGTAGATAGGCTACATGTGTTATCCTGAGGGCCTAGGAGAGGATCTTGTGTGGTCTCCATCATACAGAGAGCACAGCGGTCACCTAGGTTACTAACCATCTCTGGTCCTATATGTGGGTGCCTTGGGGGAGTACATGTAGATAGCACAGAGGTCATTTAGACTATTAACCACTTCTGGTCCTGCTTGTTGGAGCTTGTGGGTACCAGATATGGCCTGGCCCTTCAGATCATGCAGAGATCACCTGGGCTATAGGACATTCACCTCCTGGGCAGAAATCAGGTTATAACTACCCAGCACGTTTAACATTCCTGGTTTTTCCCAGTGCTTATCTGTGAGTGCAAAGACCTTTGTGTTCCCTACAACAGGCTAATCTGATGGAGGCATTTTCTCCATTGAGGTTCCCTCTTCCCAAATGACCCTGGATTTTGTCAAGTTGACAAAAGCATAACAAGCACACCAGGCTTTGAGATTGTGTGTGTGTCTGAGGGAAATATTCTTCTGTGTGTCCCAATGTCTCCATCTGGCCTTCACTATGAGATCTGCAGCTCATCTGTGAGGTGTTGCAAGGAGGCTCCAGATGCTGTGTGGTCCTTTATAGCTGTCTGCAAGTTGCCCAGGGAACCTTTGAATATCTATCTAGCTTTCTTTAGTCTCTTCTTTTAGTCTTTGACTGTTTTGAGAGTTCTTCCAAGTAATTTTCAAAACGGGCTGTTACTGTGAGGTTTGTATCTTTTTTTCTTAAGTTTATTTTATAATTTAATTTAATTTTACATATCAGCCACAGATTCCCCCCCCCAGGGCAAGATTCTAGCAAGATAAGTTTCCAACTCCTGCAAAGAAATTAAAGAAAAACTTAAAGAAGGGTGTGGTGGTACATGCCTTTAATCCCAATACTGGGAAGGTATAGGCAGGGGGATCTCTGAGTTTGAAGCCAGCCTTGTCTACAGAGCAAATTTCAGGACAGCCATGCTTAGGCAGTAAAGGAAACCAACAAAAACAGAAAATTGGTGAAGATGTAAATAAACAAGGGGGTCACATTACAGCACCAGCAAAAATCAGAACATGGCAGCTTTGGCCATCTGGTTCTGATTAAGGCCTGTCAATCTTGTTTACCCTCTCAAGAACCAGCTCTCCACATGCCCAGCTGTTGATCTTTTCCAAACAGGGACAGTAGGAGTCCTGAGTATGGGAGATGACTGACTCAGAAGAGAGCGCTGGGCAATACCTCCTTACTAAAAGAAAGTCCAGTCCAAACTACATGAATAGATTAATATAACAAATTAAGACTAACTCACACATCCTTTTAATTACCAAGCTTTTTCTGACTTAGATATAAAGCAACACTCTTTGCTTGGACTTTATATCCCTTTTCTAACTTGACAGAAAAAAAAATGTTCACATTTTAGTAAGCGTCTTAGCACATTATCAAAAATGACCGTGATGTGAGGGAATACTCTCTGTATACAACCCAGAAAAGAAGGCACACATATACTGACATGTTAGCTGTTATTACAGTTTTAGATCATAGAAGACATTTATTCCCCTTGTTTTAACTAGAAAAGAGGAACTTCTAGCCCCACAGTAGAAAAATCATTTTCTCTTCCGCCAATCCTATGCTTAAATCAGAAGTTCCTGGTATTAAAAAAAAGAACCTCTGGATCTCCATCCTCTTCACAATTTATGAGTGATAAGTCTTATATATTATTTTGTACATGTTTACAAGTTTCCATTTTTTATACTGGTGACATTTATTAACCATCTTATGTTTTTTTATATTAGACAGAGTGTTCTCTTATTATTCTCTCCATTAAAAGACTGTCAGTTGGAAAGTGTTAGCTACTATTGGTATTGTTGGAGGCACATGGCTGGGAAAACTCCTATAGAAAGTTCTAAATATATCCTGCAAAACAATGTGCCAACCCAAAAACTGTACCATGGAGTTTGGGTATACCCTCTTTAAGATACACAGAAAGTGGATGGTGGTGGCACACACATTTAATTCCAGCACTTGGGAGGCAGAGCCAGGCAGATATGAATGCATTTACGGCTAGCCTTGTCTACAGAGCAAGTTCTAAGACAGCCAAAATTGTTACCCAGAAAAATCTCTGTCTTGAACCGCCCCCCCCACAAAAAAACCAACATGTCGATTTTTATCATGTGGTAAAAGAGCCCATATTGGAGTCTCTTCTGAGTCTCCCAATTCCATGATCCCATTAGGAATACAGAAGATGAAATTAAAATGGAAAAGTTGGAAGAGGAGGACTGGGATGTGTACCTGACTGCCTGTGGCACAGGAAGTCCTAGGAGTACAGTGATCCTCTGAGGGCTCTCAACACTGGAAACTATTTCAATAATCACTAACCAAGATAATGGTCAAGTCACATGGTCATCTCTATCTTGATAAAGTCACCATCCAAGATGGCAACAAAGTCACTTTGTTTCTTTCTGTGTGGTGAGGTCAGCTCATGATAAATGAGCCCAGACCTCACCAGGGCATGAGTCCATGGGGAACATAGAAATGTGGGCGGCCACTGCTTTATTTCTCAAACAATGGATCTCAAACACGGATATAACAGAAGAAAGTACCCAAAGAGTACAGGTATGTGGGCCCCAAAGAACAAAGTAAAGACACAGAGGAAGGACCGCCATGGTCTTGATCCAAGACAAAGGGTCCATATGTGTCAGCACAGAGGTAACTATGAATGCAAAGTGGTCTCATTTTGATTTTCCTTTGATCTCACTGAGCTCCGAGATAGAAGCTAGGATCCACAAGGCCCTCTGTAGGACTTTACTTAGTGGTCACTGCTCTGTGTTTGCGTACACTCCCTGCCTGTCCCACTATGCCTGTGTATGTGGGTGGTGATAATGTTGGTGGTGATGGTAGTGATGATGGTGGTGATGGTGGTGGTTTGCTGGCATGTATGTCTGTACATTATGTATGTGTCCGGTACACCCTGAGGAGAGAAGATGGTATCAGATCCCCTGACACCACAGTTACAAAAGGTTTTTAGCTGTGTGGTTGATGGGGATCTGAGTCCTCTGGAAGAGCAGCCAAGTGCTTAGATCCACCAAACCACCTTTCCAGCTTCTATCCCTGGCATCCCTTGAGTATGCTCCACTGTATGAAGTCAGGTGGGAACAGGCTTCTAGTCTTCCTGGTCAACTAGGTTCTTTACTGATGCACCCTTTTCAGTCACTATTTTCCTGTCACAGCAGTGGGGCAGAGGTGTACAGGGAGACAGATGAAATTAGAACAGAGGGACCCACAGAGCTAAGTGTTGACAAGAGCAGGAAGTATGAGCAAAAGAGGAATCTGGAGTATGTGATAGGACACTGGACATTCCCCAGAAGGAGAAGGAGCTAGTTTTGGGGAGCTAAGGAGACAGTAGTGTGTGGGAGGAAGACCTGAGAACAGAGTGGGCAAATGTCGAGGAGTGCTTCATGTACTTGCTGAAGGTTTGGCCACTTAGCTTTGTGGGACTAGAGAACAAGTCACAGCTGAGAGGTGAAATAGAATCCCAAACAGACATACATGGGAGATTGTATCTCTCCACCATGGAACTGCAGCTGTTTCCAACCAAGACAGTTTCTGTTTGCAGGATCCTGGATTTCATGGCCTGCCATGTGTACATCAAATTCCTATGATAGGAAATAGGTACAGAGTGGCTGCCTGGACTCCTAGAACTGTACACAAGCAAGACTACATTGTCATTTTTCTAATGGCAGAGATCTCATGCCAGGAACCTGCACACATAGTCACCTAACTGTCAGATGGCTTTCCCCAGTGAAGTCATCCCCTACCACAGCCCATTTTTCTCTGCCAAAGCCAGTTTTCTGGTCACTACTCAGCTGGCTTCATAGCTACATTGGACTTTGTAAACCTCTCTTGCTCTGTGGTCTAAAGGGTGCAATCCCTCACCAGAAATACCTTTCCTGCTAGCCACCGGCTAGCCAATCCATTATCTGCCTTTCTCTCTGCTGACTCTGAAGGCTGGGGCTACAGTGTTGTGTCCTTTGGGGACTCTCCTCCCCTTTCCCCCATAGTGAGGGGCAGGAGACTGGGTATACATGAGCAGCAGCTAATGGGACAGGTCCCATCGCTGTGTTTTTACTTCAGAAGACAGTTGCTGTTGCTGGTGGAGATGGGAATACTGAAGTTATAGATTTGGGTTGCAGGACATTTTTTTTCAGTAAATAATATGAAGCTCCATCCACCTGAAAAGTATGATCATACAGTCAGTCTCAAGACAGAGAGAGATACAGAAACAGAGACACAGACAGACAGACACACAGAACATGGGTGCATCTCAGAGGACAACTTGCAGGAGGGGGTTCTCCATTCACCTCAGGGTTTGGGGACTGAACTCAGATGTCAGATTTGTAAACTGCACTTTACACACTAAAAAAACTCATCTGCACTAAACCTGGTTTGTGTGTGTGTGTGTGTGTGTGTGTGTGTGTGTGTGTGTGTGTGTGTTGGTGTGAACCAGCTCTCATGTAGTCCAGGGAGTCCCCATGTTCTCCAGGGACCAAATGCTGTGACTGCAGGTGTGCTCCACTGTAATTCTGTGGATCAAACCAAGGCCAGGGACAGCCAGCAAGCACTCTAGCAATAGGACTACATTGCCAGCCTTTAAATTCTCTAAGTGACCATCTCTATTGCTAAGAAGAATATAAGTCACTATGAGGCTGGAGCCTTCTGGAAAGGAACAGAGACACACATTAGTCTCCTCCTTTAGAGTCAACCCACATGGTCTGTTTGTCCTGCACAGAAAAACATCTCATGGAGGCCTCCTGTACCAGAGACTTTAGAAGACAGTACCTGGCCCACTTTAACATGCAGCTCGTGGTCCCTGGTCATTGTCCACTCACTCCTTGAAGGCCTTTCATCTGCAGTGGCCCTTTGGCCAATGTCCACCCTCACTGTTGAGCATGCCTCTGTGGTGATATTGTATTCCCTAATATATCATGCACCCTAATAAATTTATCTGGGGTCAGAGAACAGAACAGCCACTAGACAGACATAGAGGCCAGAAAATGTTGGCACTCACACCTTTAATCCTAGTCTTCTAGAGGCAGAGATCCATCTGGGTCTCTGTGAGTTCAAAGCCACACTGGAAACAGTCAGGCATGGTGACTCATGCCTTTAATCACAGGAAGTGAGTCTTTAATCCCAGGAACTGATGTCAGAAAGCAGAAAGGTATTTAAGGCATGAGGACCAGGAACTAGAGCTGGTTAAGCTTTCAAGGTTTTGAGCAGCAGTTCAGCTAAGATCCATTTGGATGAGGACATAGAGGCTTCCAGGCTGAGGAAACAGGATCACCTGAGGAACTGGCAAGGTGAGGTGGCAGTGGCTTGTTCTCCTTCTCTGATCTTCCAGCATTCACCCCAATACCTGGCTCCAGGTTTATTTTCATTAATAAGATCTTTTAAGATTCATGCTACATGCCTCCCATCATTCTATAAGAAACCTGCCAGTCTCCTACACGACAAGATGTCTCTTGTCTGAATCCATCTGCCAGACTACAAGGGACTAGGGTGCTGGACAGAGGATGGGTCAGAGTGAGATCCCAGAGCCTGCACTTCTGACTGGTTGGAATGGAGTCTTTCCTTTGAAGACCAGAGCAGGTTCAGATGAGCAGAGAGAAGGGAGAGGGGTGTGGCCCTTCCTCCTTTGGGTCTGTGCTGGGAACTACACAGGGATTAGCTCACCCACACCTGTAACCTCTTTTGTAGTGGGCAGAATGCAGGTGAGCAGCCTAAGGGTGAGAGAGGTGCAGCTCCTTGTCTGCTGCACGAGGAACTAAGGACACACAGTTGTGGCTCTGAGTGTCCCCATCTCTCCAGAGACTTCTGAGAGGAAGCAGACAGTGAAAGTGGCAGCACTTACCTCATTAGGAGAGTTGTCACGTGACCTGGGGAAGCAAGAGAAGAGTAACCAGATCATGGAAGTGCAAAGCTCATCTAAGACTTGTGATTTGTAGATGAACGAGGCTGCAGGAGGTGGTTGCAGATGTGGGGTGGGAGTTGAGGGGTGTGATGCCCAAGTCCAGTTAGAGGATTTGCATCCTCCGGAGTCTGTTTCACAGACTTAGCTTATTAGGACCAGAGGAGAGCTAACAAGAACAGAGACCTGAGTTATTCAGTTCAGGAGTTCTGCAAGTTCACAAAGCCTTGATTATTCTTTCCTCAGTGATACTTGTGACTGCCTTTTTCCTATGACAAGGCGGAGCACAGTGATCCATGGCACCCAGAGCAAACACCACACACAGAGCAGAGCATCTCCCTAAGGGAGAATGAATTCCCACAACCTTCACAGATAGCAGGGAAGGCATTAATGTGAGGAACTTGCTCTTGGCTGGAAAGGGGATGAGGACCTACAGCACCTGAGGGCTGGTGGGTGTTGTGCAATATTTGTATAACTATGTAAAGACATGTTGCTGTTTTACCTTGCCTGCCTAAGGCACCTGATTTTTCTAAGAAAAAGCTGAATGTCTAATAGCAAGGGAGGAGGTGTATGTGGGACATCTGGGCAGGAAGAGTAAGTCGGAGGAGATATTTAGTTCAAAAAAGAAAGAAAAAAAAGAAGCCATGGAGACACCAGGGGCCAGAGAGAAAGACATGGAGGAAGCAGGAAAGTAGGACATACAGAATGAAAGAAAGGTTAAAAGGCTTGAGGGGAAAAATAGATGAACAGAAACAGTTTAAATTAAGGTAAAGGAGCTGGTTGGACAAGAGTAAGCTAAGGCTGAGCATTCATAATTAATAATAAGTCTCCATGTCTTTATTTGGGAGCTACTTGGCAGCCTAAAGGAAATGCCAGCCAGAGGCTGGGAAGAGAAGATCTGCTCTGTACGTCAGACAGGAGACAGTGGCTGGTGTCCACGATGCCGTGGAAGGACAGGTAGGTGGTGGGACCTTTGATTCCTGAAGGTCAGTGCCTTTACTTACTGTGGGTGGACAGGTCCAGTTGTCCTCACTGAGCATGCTCTTACTTCTTGCCCTAAAGAAATGGGAGACACTGTCACTGTTGTTTGGTTCCTCAGTTGGGACCCTGGGAGCCAATGTTTCCTGGGAGCTGCTTGGTGTCCTTGCTGTGCATTCACACCATGGCTGCCACTGCCTTTCTTGGTGCTGCCTCCTTTTCCAATCTAACCAGCCCCTCCTAGTCTTTGATCCTTTTGCCCCATCATATTAGCTGTTTTCTAACTGGTTCTGGGATGGTACTTTGGTTAAGTGGGACATCGCAGGCCAAAGATCTGTTTTTTCAGTGTTCTGCATATTTGGTCTTCACACCCACACCCCTTTGTCTCCCACTGGTGGGTTCTTCTTTCACTTGTCAAGAGGACCCTGATTCTTCTGCCTCCACTATGCTATCTCAGTCCCTCCCTCCATCCCTGCTGCTGTGACAACAAAATAAAGAATTTACTTTTGACTTCTTTTTCTTTTGATGTTTCACATTTGAGGCTTCTTTTGAGGTTTTATTGAGGTTGGATGGCTCATTGGGATTGGTTGGCTCATTGTCCACCTGTTTAATGTCGTTCTCAATCTGTGGCTCCCTGGTGAAAGATGAAGTCAATTTACCTCCAAACTTCACAGGGAAAGGAGTGACTATGACCAACAGACAGTGGATTACAGGACATAGGAAGGCAGTGATATGAGGAACACAGCACACACATAGCAAAGAGAAGAAGATGGGAGTCCAGACACAAAGTGAGGAAAGCCTCTTCCCTTTTCCCAAGCATAGAGGGAATGGAAGAGTAGGTGGAAGGGTGTAAGATACTTCACCTGCCACGATGGCTGCGCCACAGGAAAACCAGTACAAATATTACTGCAATCAGCCCCATTAGACATTGGGCAACAATGCCAATGATACCCCTTAATGAGGGTACATGTTTTGGTTTTGCAGGTTGACCTGTTATGGACAGAAAAGAGAAGCATCACCATAAATTCATCCTCACCGAGCAAGTGGACAAGAACTCTGTGATTGTGTCTGACATCTGTTTGTTCCTTTGGGGAGTGCACTTCCTGTGAGAAGGTAGATTAGGAGAGGTGAGGCAATAAGCAGGGTATTCTCTCCTAGTACTCCTGTAAGTACTATGTTTCTAGGCTGGCCATGTGTCTTCCTTCAAGTCCTTGCCTGTGGCAGGTGGGGAGAGAGTGTGCTTTAGGCAGCAGTCTAATTCATATCTACTCTGGCAGTGCTTGGAAGGATCTGAAGATGGGAGAAAGTCACATAGCAATTTTTACATTAACAGTACAGTTGTTTTTAATGATCACATCTTTTTCTCATTGTCCTAATTGTGGTAAATGTAAATATTCACCTCTCTGGTTCCTGTGGCCAGGAGTTAACTGAAATTATGTTGAGGCTGAGTGTACTCTAAATGGCCACTTTTTCCTCACAGGGACTCTGTCTTAGTCAGAATCTGTGTTGAGGTAATAAAACACCACAATCCAGGGCCACAACCTTAGGGTGGCTGTACCCCCAAAGAGCTGGACCCACCCACACCAATCATCGTTCTAGAAAATGTCCCATAAGATTTCCTGCAGGCCAATCTGGTAGAAGGGAGGCATTTTCTCAACAGGGTTTTTTTATCTTCCCAAATGAGTTAGTTTAAGTCAAGTTGATATAAAACTAGCCAGCACAGATCCCCAACTCTCAGAGCTCCTAGCCAGGAGTATGAAGACAAACCTTCTTTGGTGACACACAGTTGTAATATAGCAGGTGACTCTCTTTCCAGAACCCAGCCTCGACTTAGAATAGACTGTTAGACCTGTACTGCAGCCAAAAGCACACTCCCTTCTCCCACCACAGGCTTCAGCACTGTTGGCACAATGCTGTGGCCCTCTAGGTTCCTCCTACCATCAAACAATCAGTAAATGGATATGCAATTTAAAAAAAAGAGAAATACGGTGCCATCTGTGGGGTGTCATGTCTATAATCCAAGTAGTTGAAGGACTGAGACAAGAGGTTACCATGGGCTCAGGATCAGGCTAGACTACCAAGTGAGTTCTAAGCTAGACAGGACTACATAGTAACACCCCATCACTGTGGGATGTCTTTCTGTGTGCTGTGAATATATGTTACTCTGAATGGTTGATAAATAAAGCTGCTTTGACCTATGGTAGGTCAGGATGGAGCCAGGGTGGAAAATCCAAGAGATATAGTGAGAGAAGAAAGGGGAGTTTGGGCAGATGCTGCTAGCTGCCACCAGGAGAAACAAGAAGTAAAAGTAATGGTAATCCACAAGCCATGTGGCAAAGTATAGATTCATAGAAATGTGTTAATTTAAGATGTAAGAGCTAGCTAGTGAGAAGCCTGAGCCATTAGGCCATATAGTTTAATAGTGAAATAAGCCTGTGTGTTTTTTTGGGACCAAGAGGCTGTGGGATATGGGTGGAAGAGATTCTTCCAGACCGCAGGGCCCAGGCAGAACACAGGAAAATTTCTGACTATATGAAACAAAGCAACCAAATCAACCACCTGCAGCAAAACCTACCACAGCCACAACCAGAAAGAGTACCAAGTCAGACCATCCCTCTGATCAGTCCTACCCTGTGGCCAAATGATCTTTGACAAGTATGCTAAGAGTTGAGCAGTACAGAGGATGCTCAGGCAGAGGGTTGTTCCATGCCCAAGTCCCGTTTTTTAATTCCTTATACAAACATTGACTCTAAGTAGATCAATACTTAAATGCAATAACAAAGTTTATAAAACATTTAGAAGAGAATCTGTGATGTACGCTCAGTGACATTGGATTTCGCAGTGATACTCTTGACCATGACACAAAAGCAGAGGTGACAATAACAACTAAACAACAAATCAGGCCTCACAAAAACTGAAAATTTCTGTGCATCAAAGGCAATGTCAGCTGTGTGATCCAGCAGTCCCACTCTGGGATGTGTAAAATACAGGGACTCATGATCTGTTGAAGACAGAGCAAAGATCTATATTATTCCTTGCTTTGTCACTTGAAAAGCAAGAATGGAAAATTAAGGACTCATCCATCAGTGGATGACTGGACAAAGAAAATGTGATATATGAACACACTGTAATACAACTGAGCTTTATGAGAAGTAAATCTGTGTTTTGAGAACATGGATGGACCTGGGGGGTAATATGCTAAGTGAACTAAGTTTTGTACAGAGAAATAAACACTGCATGTTCTCAGTTCCATGTGGAATGATATTGTGTGACTTTTCCTGAGATGTGGGAAGAAATGGCTTTCACCACTGTCCTACTTCAGGTTTTGATGGCTGTGAAGAGACACCATGTCCACTGCAACTCTTCTAAAGAACATATTTAGTTGTCATGGCTTGTTTACAGTTTCAGAGGTTCAGTCCATTATCACCATGATGGGGAACATGGCAGAGTGCAGGCAGATGTGGCACTGGGGCTGAGAGTGCTGCATCTTGCAGGAAATAGGAAGTCAACTGAACAATTAGTGGTATCCTGAGCATACCATAAGTAGTTGAGGCAAGGGCAGTTCCTTGCCCAAATTGCTAACTTTTGCCATAAAGAAAGCAAACTCCATATGGAGGTTCTTTGATGCGGATCATCCTTTTAAGAAGTAGATTAGTGCTGCCAGGAGCAGACATGTCTCATTGTCATGAAAAGCACTGTTATTAAAACATTAAAGTGTAATAGTCTGTAGGTCTCTAAAGTGTTTGAAGACTATCTATTTAAAATGTGTCTCTGTTTACCTTGAAAACAAACCCAGCGGAGTTCTTGGGCCAGGGGCAGGCAGCAGCTAAGGCTGCTGTGGAAAAGCTGCAGCAGAGAAACCCCTGAGGTGGGAAAACAGGCAGGGAGGTCCACTGGGAAGGGAGACAACACCAGCTGCTGCAGCAGTGGCAGCGGCATGGCAGGTTCAATGCCTTGGTGAGGTTTAATAATGCCAGATGTGGAACACCAGATGTAGCTGCCGGATGAAACGATTACCTAATTTGTTCTAGTATAATAAAAACTTGGGAGTCAGAAATTGAGATAAAGACCTGGAAGGAAAGTGGAACAATTGGTTGACCCTCTCTCCACGTTCTCTGGAATCTCTAGCACTGGAAATTCTCCCAAACTTCTCTATTCCTGCCCTCTCTAGCCGCCTTGCAAAGTCCTCCAAATCTTTGGAGGCTAATCCCAGGCAGCCAATCACTGTCTCTGCCCTAGATTCAAGGTTTTTTTTTTTTTTTATTGGCACAGTGGATTGGCTATATGAACAATTCTCCTGCAACAGCTCAGTTTCTACATTTCCCTGGTACTCAGACTGATCCCTCCACACTCAGGCCGGAATCCTCATGATCTAGGCTCTGATTAGCACTTCCATTGTTTGCTTGAAAACCTTTCCCAGTTCAAGCACTTGAGGGGCTGAGTGTTCAAGGATCATGATAGTTTCTTGTCCTGAACCTCTATTGAGGCTCCTTCTTGGTGCTGAAACATGTGATACCCTGTGTTAAAAGTCAGACTTGAGTGGAGTCTATCACTCCCACCACATTCTTTTCCTCCTTACTCTCAGTTGCTTCCATGGGTTCTAAATGAAGCTGTAAGCTTGAAATAAACTTTCTTCTATAGTTGCCTTGGTCACTGTGTCCTCACAGCAATAGATAAGTAACCGAGACACAACCCCATGCCAAGAAGAAAAAGAGGTCTACTCTAGGATTCTGCCAAATGGACATGAGGTTCTCAATGTGCTTGGTTTTGGTTTCATGTCTTACTACCTATTATATGAAATATTAAACCACCAGTATATCAAACATGTATGCCATCCCCTGCCCTTCAAGGAAAGCTAGCCATTATGTTAATTGCTTCACAGACATTCCACCCTTGTAATGGCCAGCCTTTGTTCCACATCTTGATGCACCTTTCAGAGGCCCTGCAATCATCTTTCCTCAAGTCTTCTTTGGTTCTATCAAGCTGTGTTCAGATGACAACTGTGTTGTGTGACTTCTTCAGAGGAGACATTAACAAATGGCAGACCTACCCTGAACAAACTATATCCTCAAGTCTAGCTTACTGAGACAGAGAGATTTTTTTAGGGTTACTTTTAGGAACATGGATGACCGGAAGACAGCTTCATCACAGACAAATGCATCTCAGTATGGGTAACAGCTCATGAAGCTGTGTCACCGGAGCTCTGTGTATCACTCACAGGCAATTTGGTGGGTTGGAATGCCTACTCTGCCAGACCCGATTACTCCATATAAGCTCAGGGACAGGGGAGTGGGTTTTGCTAGTTTCAGGAGCTTCCTGAGACTAGTGAGTTTGCTTTCCTTCTGACCTCAACCAAATTTTTATATCAGAGGAAACAGATGCCCAGTTAAAGAGCTGAGATTCTATGGATATAAGAATGGTGAACTGTGGTTGGAGAGATGGTTCAGGGGTTAAGTGCACTACATGGAAATCTGATACTCCTTAATGGGGTAAACAATGGAATTCGAATGCTGAGAACTGTAGCTGCTACTTGTCTGGTGTAGTAGAAGCTTAAAAGTAGGGCATATAAAGCCTCTCACCAGCCCTTGAGTCACCCCAATATATGTTTATTAAAAAAAATCAGGCTTACAGGCTGTTACAAGACCTTAAAATATTAAATGGACTTTATTGGACCCAAGGGGAGCTTCACAGCCTGGCTTGCCATTTCTCACAGCCACCCCTGGAATTTAAAATATATTTGTCATAGACTTACAAGATTACTTCTTCACCATACATCCTCACCCTAAAGATTGTCAGTATTTCCCTTTTAGCTTGCCTTCTAACCCTGACACGATAGAGTCAAAAGCTGACATGCAGAGCAGGAAATATGAGTCCTGTTTATCCAGAACTCATTTATTGTGCTGAGTTCCTTATCATATATACAGATTAACTATCAGAACTAACTGTCAATTATAGTTTCCTCACAGTCCCCTACCCCAATGATATATATA